ACACACACACACACACACACACACACACACACACACACACACACACACACAAAAAAAAAAAAATTGAAGGAATGGGTTTTTTCATTTTATCTTATTGGAAGATCACAACAGACCTGAAGCGCAGAGGTCATAGAGCAGCTTTTTACTTATCAGTTTGCCCTTCATGGCTCACTCAGCTTTGCTTTTTTTTGTTTTGTTTTTTCAAGACAGGATTTCTCTGTATTGTTTTGGAATCTTGCCTCTGCCTCCCGAGTGCTAGGATTAAAGGCGTGCGCCACCAACGCCCGGCTTCAGCTTTGTTTTTTATATGAAACTTCTCAGGGATGGCACCACCTACAGTACACTAGACATTCCCATACCAGTCATTAATCAAGAAAATGCCCATAGATTTGCCTGTAGGCCATTCTGATGGAGGCATTTTCTCAATTGGGGTTTCCCCTTCTAAAAGGACTCTAGCTTGTTGAATTAACAAAAAACTAGCTAGCACATTCATTTTATGCTCATTTTTCTTGCTGAAAATGACAGTAATTATTAGACAGTAATAATAAATAGATTTCCGATTAGCTGATAGAAATCTTAATTCTACTAGCCATTTTGTAGTTTGCTATGTCATTGATAGTAGTAATTTCTTTTGGATATAGAGTTAAATCTGTTTTACTGAATGTCTTTAAATCTTAAATCTTGATAAATTATTTATCTTTAATCTAAAATATACAGGACCTCAAGAAGCTCTTGTATAAAGACAGTAAAAATGTGTACTTTGTCGGAAACTTCTGATGAGTGAATGTAATCTTCTTTTCCTCTTACTAAATAGCACCAGTAACTCCAGAGAGTGGTTACTCTTCAGCCCATGCAGAGGCCACCTATGAGGAAGACTGGGAAGTATTTGACCCGTGAGTTGTTTTGTAGTTATTAAATTTTCTTTCTTGAATTTTCTTTCTTGAATGATTTTCAGCTTCATGATGGAACTGAAAAATGATGTTTGTCCAGTAGAAACTGTACTTTGAATTTTGAAGTTCAACTTTTTCCTAAGTGGCAGTACATAGCAGGGTACTCTTTCATGTTGGGCAGAGAACTCTATCTCTGACTTATCCTGTGTTCTCACGAGGGCAGACAGCTGATGTTCTGCATTGTTTAACTTAGGCTTTATATTCTGTTAGTACTATATTTGTTAGTCTAGGTATATCATATGCATTTTTAAACTTACATTATTTTTGTTGTAAACATGGGAGATAAATCCCATGATAAGAGCTTGACCTGTAGGTAGGGTATAATACTTATAAGTGAGTTTTGGAGACACTAATCTGTATACTTTTACTTATGTGTTTTCAAAATTTAGTTTACTGGGTGAAGTGTTGAATTAGTTACTGCTTCATTGCTGTAACTGACAAGAAGCAACTTAGGAAGGGTATGTTTTGGTTAGTATCTTAAGTTAAGGATGCAGTCCCTCATAGCAGGAACTGTGGCAGTGAGACCCTGCTAACTGTGGCAGATAGGGGTATTCAGCTGCTGATGACTTTTTTTTAAAGATTTATTTATTTATTTTGTATACAGTGTTCTGCCTACATGTATCCCTGCAGGCCAGAAGAGGGCACCAGATCTCATTACTGATGGTTGTGAGCCACCATGTGGTTGCTGGGAATTGAACTCAGGACCTCTGGAAGAACAGCCAGAGCCATCTCTCCAGCCCTGCTGATGACTTTGTGTCTGCTATCAGAAAGCAGAGTAGTGAATGTTCTGTGCTGCTAGCTTTCTCCTTTGCCCATGGGACAGTGCTGCCCATGCTTAAATGTCTTAGGAAACACCCTTAGACACACAGAGATGTCTGTCTTCTAGGTGATTCTGTTAGATTGGTACAAAAGTAATTTGCAATCTTTGCAATGTTGAAATATATCTGATATTGGAATACTTAAATAAATGAGGTTATCCTACAAATCATTTTAATGTACATTTCTTTATTAATACACGCTTTTTATTTTTAGGTGGGTCTCACTACGTAGCTTTGGCTGGCCTGGAATTTGAAATGTAGACCAGGGTGGCCTCAAATTCACAAGTGCTGGGATCAAAGGTGTGATCCACTATGTCCGGCCCATACTGTTTATTTTATACTATGGAAATGATACGAAACAAAAAGCAAATTAAAGCCATTTTATTTTTTTGTTTGTTTAGTTTCTTTGTGACAGGGTTTCTTTCTGTAGCCCCACTGTCCTGTAACTTGCTTTATAGACCAGGGTGGCCTTGAAGTCACAGAGATCCTCCTGTTTCCTCAGTGGTGGGATTAAAGGCATGTGCCACCCAGCTCAAGCCATTTTCTTATTTGAGTTCAAAATGTGCTCTATCAGTAGCATATTTGGCCTAGAAATTGTTAGTAAACATACAGTGCAGTGGTGGTTCATGATGTTTTCCAATGGAGACTCGAGAAGGAGCTAGTGGCTGGACAGCAGAAGTTGACAAAGACCAATTGAGATCAATCATTGCTCATGAATCTCTTACAGTTATATAGGAAGTTGCTAAGTAACTATATATTCAATGGTCATTTGGTATTAGAAATAAATTGGAAACGTAAAAAGGTTTGATAAGCGGGTGCCTTATGAAGTGACTGAAAAGAAAAAAATGTTATATTAGGCCGATATCCTCCCTTATTTTAAGCTTCAAGGAATTTTCCCTGTCAGTTGTGACAGGTAAAGAGAGGTCTATTGTATACCACAACTGGCAGATGAACCCAGGGTCTGGACGAGAAGAAGCTTCAGAGCCCCTCCCCAAAGTCAAACACACCAAAAAAAGGTCATGGTCAGGGTTTGGTTGTCTGTTGCCACCAAACCTGATCACACAGATTCCTGAGCCTCGACAAAAGCATTACATCCCTGCTCTGCAGTCTAGCAGATAGGCTGAAATCTCCATAGGACTTCAAAATAGCTTTTTTTCAGGGTAAACATTTCTGCAAACACCAGCATGCAGAGAATTCAGAATCCTGAAGCCTGGATGTTTTACACTAGAGCAGTGTTCTCAACCTTCCTAATACTACTCACATCATGGTGATCTCCTACCATAAAATTAATGCATTGCTGTAATCTTGTTATAAATCATAATGTAAATAAATATCTGATATGTGACCCCTGTGAAATGGCCATTGGATCCCTAAAGGGGTTACATCCCACAGGCTGAGAACTGCAGCACTATAGGAATAAACAGATTTATTTCTTTGGTCTTCAGGAGATGAAAGATAGAAAAAAGCAAACAGTCCTTGTAGTCGAAAACATATTGATTGTTCTTACTGGGATCAATTAAGATGTGTTTGAGTCTAGTTACAGCAATTTAAAATTGAGTGACATAGCAGTTCCTTTTGTGCCAATCTAACAATCCAGTGGGATAGATAATGAAGACAAGCTGTACTGTAGGGATTAAACCCAAGGTCTTGCACATTGTATTGTATAGCAAGAATTGTGTAGCTGACCACATCCCAAGCTAATTAAAATTTAAGTTTAGTAGTGTTTGAAATACATGAAACAGAAATGTTGAAATTTTCCTAAAATTTGATTTATAGCTATTATTTCATCAAGCATGTTCCACCACTGACAGAAGAACAGCTAAATAGGAAACCTGCTCTTCCTTTGAAAACAAGAAGCACACCAGAGTTCTCCCTGGTCTTAGATCTGGTGAGTGTGCTATATCTTTCGGGTACAAAGAATAAGGGTGGAAAGAATACAAGTGAGGAAGCAGTCATATTTACTATGAATGTGTCGTGAGTGTTTTGCAAAGTTTTTATTTGAGTATATACTAATGTTAGGATCCCTAGGGTCTCTAGCATTAGACTAGTTTGGTTGGTATCTGGTATATTTTGAAAATAAATTAGACTTTAATTTAAATACAAAAATAAGAGTTGTTTTCCTCCACATTCTTGAGATCCTGTGATTTGTTTTTAATTTTATTTGATGTTTATTTTTTTGAGGAGTCGGGAATTGATCCAGGGTCTTACATATGCATATGTGTTATATCCTCTGCCTTTATTATGGTGTATGAGTATTTTGCCTACCTGTATCTCTGTGCATCAGTAAATGCCTGGTGCCCCAAGAGGCCAAAAGACAGGACTGGATCCCCTGGAACTGGACCCAGGTCTTCTGCAAGACCAGAGAGGTTTCTTAATCACTGAGTATCTCTCCAGCACATAACTACCCCCACCTCCTTAATTTCCAATTTGATCCTACTAGAATGATGCTTATAATTTAGATTTCCTCTTATTTTTATAATTTTGTTTTCCTGAAGGACCAAATATAATTTGGCTTCACTAAGCTAACTATAAGAACATGCTCTTTTCTACCCTTACCCTCCCCTTCCCCCCCTTTTTTTTTTTTTTTTTTTTTTTTTTTTTTGTGGTTTTTTCAAGACAGGGTTTCTCTGTGTAGATTTGGAGCCTGCCTGTCCTGATTCGCTCTGGAGACCAGGCTGGCCTCGAACTCACAGAAATCCACCTGCCTCTGCCTCCCGAGTGCTGGGATTAAAGGCATGCACCACCAACGCCGGGTTGGAGGCACACACCTTTAACCCCAGCACCAGGCAGGCCAGCCTGATCTACAGAGTGAGTTCCAGGACAGGCTCCAAAACTACAGAAAAAACAAAACAAAACAAACAAAAAAAGACAAGGTCTCATGTAGCCTGGGCTGGCCTCAAACTCCACATGCAGCTGATTGGTCTTGAACTTCAGAACCTGTTACTGTTATCCCCCTCCCAAGTACTAGGACCATGCCTGGTGTGTTTGATGTTAGGGAAATTGTATCCCCAACCTTCTTTTCCCTGTTTTTATTTTCCAATTTATATAATTACCAATCAACCTTTTAAAATAATGTATTTAATTATCAATAAAATAGATCATTTAATTACCAATAAAATAATTATTTGATTACCAATAAACTTTTCCCCCCTCAGTGTTATTTAAAATTTTCTAGTTGGTGTACCTGGTATGGGATGTGACTTTATGTGCTTTATGGTCTGAACTACAGAAGAGGCTGAGCCACAAAAGCCTGTGAGGGTTAGGGCCAGTCTAGGCAACATATAGCAAGACTTCTGTCAGAAAAAAAAAAAAAATTCTGAGTGTTTTTATACCTTTTTGGGTACCAGAAGAACTTTGAATTGAATATCTTGGTTTTTTTCGAGACAGGGTTTCTCTATGTAGCTTTGGAGCCTATCCTGGCACTTGCTCTGGAGACCAGGCTGGCCTCGAACTCACAGAGATCTGCCTGCCTCCAGAGTGCTGGGATTAAAGGCGTGAATTGAATATCTTATCTTTTGCTAATCTATCTCTCTCCCCTCTCCCTCCCACTCTCCCTTCTTTCCTCTCTATCACTCTATATATTATGTATGTATGTATCTCACATCACATTTACCATTTGCTTACAGTTTTATGTTCTTGTAAAAAAAAAAAAAAGGTGTATCTAGTGCATTGTGCTGGAAAACATTTTGTTTAGCATATTACTGGTATCCTATAATTAGAAATGTGATTTAATTCTCAGAAAATTTATCTTGAAGTAAAGCCAGTTGTTTTATTTTGTTTGGTTTTGGGTTTGGTTTTTTTGAGACAGGGTTTCTCTTTGTATCCCTGGCTCTCCTGAAACTCACTCTGTAAATTAGGCTGGCCTGCAATTCAGAGATCCACCTGCCTCTGCCTCCCAAGTGCTGGGATTAAGGCATGTGCCACTACTGCCTGGTAAATTTTTTTAATTAGTACATAATATTTATTTTTCATAATCGTAGCCTTTATGAGTCAGAGATGTAAAAGAAATAATAGAATCCTAAAGTATTTTAGAAGATAAATACAAAGAAAAAAATTAAAACTGATTATAATGAGTTTAAGAGTCGATATGTAAGATGGAGGAAGAAATTAAAGAGATTTGCTACATTTGGGATTTAGGAGTTGGTATAGTAATAATGAAAGTTTGGCCATAGTTTGAGTTGGAAGGCTAAATATAGAGGGAAAGATAAGTGGCTGAGCATGAATAATTTATTGAAGTAGTTGAAGGATTAATATAATTATGACAGCTTAGAAAATACTTTATGCATAGCTTGATTTGCTCTCTGTATAAAAATATACATCCCTACAAGTATGTGACACACACACACACACACACACACACACACACACACACACACACACACACACACACACACACACGTTTATGTACATTTTGTCGTTGTTACAAGGTAACTAACTTATGCTGGCCTTGAACCCTATTCTTCCTTTAGCCTTACAAGTACTGAGTATCCTACCGTACCTAACTTTCATTCTCGGTCTCTATGAGTATGATATTTTGAAACAACAGCTTGCTGTGTAGCATAGGTTAGCGTACCTAACATTTGTTTTATAGACAAGGTTGGCCTCAGATCTTGAATTCATTGCAGTATGCCTTCCTCAGCCTTCCAGAGATTACAAGCTATCACACCTTGCTTCTTATATCAGAGAGCCAAGTGTGTTGGCACTTATCCCAGCAATTGGAAAGCTAATTCAAGCAAATTATGAGTCCAACCCCTCTCCCCCGAGACAGGGTTTCTCTATGGCTTTGGAGGCTGTCCTGAAACTAGCTCTTGTAGACCAGGCTGACCTCGAACTCACACGCCTGCCTCTGCCTCCTGAGTGCTGGGATTAAAATAGTGTGCCACCAATGCCCTGCTCAGATTATGAGTTTAAGGCTGACCATGTAGTGAGAAAAAAATTAAGGTGGGGAATATGGTCCAGTGGTAATAAGGAGATTTCTTAGCATGTGCAAGTTCCTGGGTTTGACCCCTATCACTACCCCTGTGCCTCAAATATATATCTTACAGAGACCAGAAATGCAAAAACAACAAAACCAGCAGCTATTATAAGATATGAATATTCATGTTTAATTTTAGTTCATCTATTTTGTTTTGTTTGTTCTTTTGAGGAAACGATCTTCCAACTTAGCTGTACTCCTGGTCCTTTGTAACTTTCAGGGTTTGAGAAATGCATTGATTTGGATTTTTCTCAAGCAGCTCTTATTTTTCTTATTTTCAGTAAGAAATCAGGATTGATATTCTAAGATAAGTTTTCATTGGCAGTTTAGTTGAGGTGGATGAAATATACTCAGTTATAATGCTAAATTAAGATTCTTTTTTAAAGATGAGTTATATAAAAAACCACAAATAATTATATTCTAAACTTGCATGAGCTAATTTCAAAGAAATGTAGTTAGTATAACAGCATGGTGGCACTGGGTTCTATAATCTCAGCAATTGATTCAATATAAGAGAACTTCATCGGGAATTTGAAGATAGCCCAAACTATATAATCAGACTATTTCTAAAAAAACTAAATGATAATGTTGGTGGTGCACGCCTTTAATCCGGAGGCAGAGGCAGGCAGATCTCTGTGAGTTCGAGACCAGCCTGATCTACAAAAGCTAGTTCCAGGACAGCCTCCAAAGCCACAGAGAAATCCTGTCTCGAAAAACAAACAAAAAAAAGCAAAAACAAAACAAAACAAAAAAACCCAAAAGGAATAACAAATGTTCTTTAACAAAAAGTTGAACTGCAGAGTTCAGAGCAGTGGTTTTCAAACTTGAGTATGCTACAGAGGTGCCTGGGAAGTTTATCACAGCCACTGAATGTGTGAATCATCAGAAATAGAGCTATAGTTCTTGAGGATTCTGATGCTGTTTATGCTCTAAAAATTACACCTGAGGAAAACTCCTGTGCTAATATGCTTCATCATATACATCAATTCCACATGTGAGGGGTGATTGTGACCACATGAAATGGTCCTTTGAAGTTTCTTTTAATGTTTTGTTTTACTCTTGTTTGTTTTAAGGACGAAACACTAGTGCATTGTAGTCTGAATGAGCTAGAAGATGCAGCACTTACTTTTCCAGTCCTTTTCCAGGATGTCATTTATCAGGTAATTAAGACATTTTAAACCTATTTTTTAAACTATTAGGTAAAATTCTGAGCCAAGAAGAAAATTTTGTGATGTTCAGTATGTCTTTCTGTAGATTTATTAATAGTTTACCAATATTTTACTCGTGTGTTACACAAAGTAGCATCATGCTAGAGAGCTACATAAACAACATTTGTAACCAAAGAATACTAACTTTGCTGACTTGTGATCTTTGCTAGTTTCATACTCTTTGCCAGCAGGTGGAGGCAAGGAACACTGCACAGATCCCCAGGAAGAACTTACCCAGTTAATACCTGGGGGTTTTGTCTTTATTTTCCAATTAATATAAAGAAAGTTCATTCCTTGTTGGTCATTTTTATTTGCTACAGTGATGTTATCTGTAAAATCACAGTTCAGTGTACCTAATTTATATTAACCACAGAATTCAAAGACTCCTGTAGTTAATGCTTTATATATAAAGAATTTAGGTACAAGCATTTCTTTTATCTTTGTTGATGAACAAGTTACAGTACAAAGTACAAAGTATAAATATTGTTAACATTTCACTGTGGATTATCTGTGTGGGCCGAATTTTTTGTTAAAATTTCCCATCATAGGATTGACTTAATAAATGAATATACTTTAAAACTGCAAAGTCCTTTTGTGTGTTTGCATTTGTATTAGCGTTACCTTTATATACACTAGCTGCTGAAAGATTGGAAAAGGTCAAAAAGTTTCTTGTCAAGAGGAAGCCAAGCCACTTCAGGGGTTTGTTGTAGCACTTGCCATGTGAGTAATGACTAGGTCCCTGGTTTGTGTGCGCTCTTGGTGGGCAGGTACAGAGTGCTTATGGCTTTTGGTAGATTTCACTTGTTGTCTTGAAGAAATCATGAGATTTCAGAATTAAGTAGAAGTTTTGGGCTACTTTGCCAAACATTTTATGTAGTCATGAGGATTTGTTTTACTAGTGATTTTTGGTCTAATCTAGATAGGTATATTCATATACTTTTAAAATAATCTGGTATTAGTCTTGATACATTATTAGGGGAAGAGGAAAACATACATTTAAAAAATTGATTTAAAATTTTTCCTACTTTGAGTTATTACTTGGCTTAATGAATGTTCCCTGCCAGATTCATCTCTCGTGTTTAGTTCACTTAGGGTGGGGGAGTCTTAAAGGCCAACATAAGTAATGTAGCAGCAATTTAGTGTTCTGTTTCAGTAGCCTTGTTTGTTGTTCTTTGTGGTTTGATTTTTTAGTATTTATTTTGAATGGCTTTGAAAACTGGTTTTAGGCTTTTGGATTTCAAAAGTAAAACTTACTTGAGAATTCTTAAGTCTCCTGATTTGAAATTTATCTCTTATAAATGGCTTCTGGGTTTTTTTTGTGTATAGGTTTTTTTGTTGTTGTTTTGTTTTTGTTTTTTGTTTTTTGTTTTTTTTTTTGAGTAGTTAAATAAATGTGGGAAGTAGATTCATTTGGCTCTTTTCAGTATGGATATATATTGAAATTTTTCTTACTGTTTCCACCGTTTCTGCTTTCTCTTTTAAAAGTTTTTATTTCCTGTGGATCTGGATAATTGTCTTTGTTTGAATAAAAGGCTTATTATATATTAACTGATGCTTAGTAAAGCTATACAATATATTATATCCCTTTAGAGAATTCTAAAAAAATTTTTCACATATATTGAGTTTACTTTCTGAAACTGAATAAAAAGTGACCCAGTCATCTAAATAGCAATGAGTAGGAAGTTTGAGTTTAGAACTATAGAAATGATTGCATTTTTAGTATTATGATTTATTTACCTTATGAAGGACATATTTAATTTCCCTCTACTAAATTTTTTATGATATCTGTAGTTAGTACTGGGTACATTCCCTTGAATTTCTGGTTTTAACATAGCTTTTTAAAAATGGAGAGAAGTCTTTGGCTTAGGGCTCCCCAGTTTTTTTCAGACCAGCAAGCTCCCTTTAAACAGGGAATGATGTCTTTTAAACTTTCAGTGGTGTTGTCTCCATCTACTGGCAAAGAAGAATATACACAAGGGTCTGGGATGAGCTAAGAGATTTTGGAGAAACCACATTATTAGGTAAGATGTAACTTACATATCTAACCACTGTAATGTAACATGGCCCACTTAAAGGTGGAAACCCATAAAATACTGTATATACTCTTATTTTAAAATAATTTTTGAGGTAAAATTTACATAGCACATCCATGACACTTACCTATGTGTTCTTAAATATATCTATCTGTTCCATAGTATCCCCCCTCGTGCGTGTGCGTGTATTTGCGCGTGCGTATATGTGTGCGCGCGTGCCCCGAACATGCATGCATGGGTGCCAGCGTGTGTTTAAAAATCAGCTTCTTGCTCTGAATAAAGGCGAGATAAATACCCTCTTGGGATTTATTTTTGGTTTGTGTTCAGTTTGTAATGGTTCATCTATATCTAATTTCAATTCTACTTTTTATTTTTTTCACTTCAGAACAGTTTTATACATTAAAAATTTTCAAAGCCAGGAGGTGGTGGCGCACTCCTTTAATCCCAGCACTTGGGAGGCAGAAGCAGGTGGATCTCTGTGTGTTCTAGGCCAGCCTGGTCTACAGAGCTAGTTCCAGGACATCCAGGACTACACAAAGAAACCCTGTCTCAAGAAACAAAAACAAAAAAATTATCTAAATCAGGAGTTTTAGATTTTATAGCTCTTGCTGCAACCACTTTTTCTGCTGTTCCAACATGAAATGAACCATCCATGAAAAATAGTTGGGCAGAAGTGGTGGCGTACATCCATAATCCAGCACTTATAATCCCGGTACGGGGAGGCTATGACAGGAGGAAGATGATTGAGACCATCCTGGGGTATATATATTACAAGTTCCTGGCCAGAGTGGGCTACATAGTGAGACCTTGTCTCAAAAAATAGACCAACATACGGTTGTCTTCCAGTAAAACTTAATATTTTAAAAAATAAGTGGTAGGTTGTATTTGGCTAATAGGTCTTAATTTTGACCTAGTAATTTTGGAAGCATATACTATAAATTTATACACTTAAATTCTGAGTAGAAGTAAGTAACCAAATTTTCATCAGAATTTTTACTTTTAAATCGAAAAATTTAGATTCATAGTGATCTGGTAATAGACCTTTTTTAAGTTTCAGGTAGCTACTATACTTATATTTAGATTGCCATACTTCATGACATATACTCTTCTCATTTTGGTAAATAGGAATAAATTCAGATAAGACCAGCCTTAGAATTTTCAGGCAGATAAATCATTCAAGTCTAAATTTAGTGTTTACATGCATTCATTTCAAAAAAGTTGACATGTTACTCCTGATGCTAGATGAAGTAGACAGGTTTGTTTGTGAATATGGAAAATATGAAAGAACGCACTTGTAAGTGAGGGTATTAGGTTCAAAAATGGTACAGATTATTTGAATTGCTGTACTTTTAGTACACATTTCCTAAAAATTGTTGCATAATGGTTAAGAAAGGATTTATTCATAAAATGGTACAGATGCATTTCATTTGGAAAAAAAGGTGCATGATCACTCCCAATGCACGTTTAAACTTGTAGTTAGTTAAATATTGACACATTATCAGGAAATCCATCTCATGGTGTTACTCAGTTAAGAGGTCTCCACTGTATTTAGTTTCTGTTCCTGCAGATCCACCAATTCAAGACTCTAGGTCATCTCACTCCCTCTTCCATCCAGAAGATGACTGCTATCCACAAGCAGAACTGAATCAAAAGACATTTTTCACTTAGCTCTTGAGCTGAAACACCTCCTCAATGACCTTCCTCTGTCTCCATCAAGAACTGGAGCTCAGTTTTTTGAAGAAGTAATAGAGCTACTCAGCCCAAATGTGGCTGATTGAAGACAAAGAAGATACCTCATATGTCTCACCACAGTGCACCAAACGCAACTGTGTTGTCCATCTCCTCATTCTGTACAGTAAGGCAGGGGCATCTGATTTTTTGACTGTACTCACCATTAAGACTTTAGCCAGTCAGTGGCTTTCTGAGGATCAGTAAAATCAACACTCTTTGGGTCAGCTGTCCAGAAATCAGACTATGGTAAGCACTCAAGGAGCTAGGCTGCTGCAGGGAGCTACTTTAAAGGATGCTTTCTTTTATTGGTAGAGGTTGCTTTTATGGAGATAGTTGTGGGGAAGAGGCCAGTGGAGAGCCTGATTAGTAAAGCTCAGCCTCTTCCTACTTTGTTTTATTGGAAAAATCATTCAGTCAGGGTATTTAACATACTACAGAAAGAGAATTAGAAGTGTCATGGCTTCTAGCTCTTCCTAGAAAAACCAGCTTTATTTTTGCTTCATGAAGAAGAAAATATATAAGTGAAGGATTCTGTTGTAAATACCTGATTACATTTTCTCTTTTGCAAATTCTGACTTTATAATTAAAGACTCATTTTGTTGCTGAGTTTTATAAACTTACTTTTGTTGTATATAAATATGTATGTTTGTACATAACTATTTCTTGTATATAGTATTTGGGGTTATGAATATTTAGTACTACTGTCTCATTTAGCTAGGAGAGAATAGTATTTGAATAGTAACTTTCCTGTAGAAAGTGTTAAAAACAACACTTTAGAATAATTTTAAAGTAACTCTCCCATCTTTCTTAGTAAGTAATCATGGAAACTGTTTTCATTATAATTATTTTTAGATTAAAAATGAAATAAATTAAACTTAGTTTTCTCCTTATCAGAAATTTAAAAATATATCATGGAGAATTCTTAAAGTATCTCAAATTAGGAATAATTCATTTAAAAAAGCAGATTATACAGCCAGACAGGTGATGCCTAACTGTCACCAGAGCTCAGAAGGCTGAAGCACAGAGTTTGAGACTTGCTTGGGCTATGTAATAGTGGGTAGGGGCAGATGGACTCTACACTAGAAAGTTCTTATTGAACGACTGAGAATATTTTAAATATAGAAGAGAGGAGAGTTGATTACGAGCACTAAATTGGAGGGTTCATTATCTTTAGAATGAGTTTTGAGAGTGATTTTATTTAGCTTTATTTTTAAGATCTCATTATGTAGCCCAGGCTGGCCTAGAACTCACAATCCTTCAACATCCTGATTGCTTGTTAGAATGATTTGTTGTTGTTGTTGTTGTTGTTGTTGTTACTACTATTACTACTGGAGACAGGGTCTCACTATGAGGCCCTGATTGGCCTGGAACTCACTTTGTAGACCATGGTCACCTTAATAGCAGACATCTGCCAGCCTCTGCCTCCTGAATGCTGGGATCAAAGCTGTGAGCCATGATTTTGGTGTATGCTATAGTGGTTTTTAAAGGCAACATTTTGTTACTTAAATGGCTACTTTGGGTTTTTTTGCTTTTAAAGTAATTGTTTCTTTTAATACATGTTATTAAAAGTTTTATGTATGTACTTATATACTTAAATTTGTATACAAATAAATGGCCATTCTTTCCCCATCATAAACATGCTTCATTGACAACTTAATAAATAGCATACATGAATACATTCAACTTCATTTTATCCTATTTGGACTCTAAACCCCTTTTCAGATTTGAATCTTAACTATAGATAGTTAAGGAAAATTCTTGTAATGGTGTTTTAGTCCCCAGATTGATTATATTTCTACCTCTTACTAATGAATAAATTAACCTATAGGTTATTAAGTTGAGGCCTCCATGGCTTGTATTTGAGCAGCCTTTTTATGCTTGGAGGTTTGGCCTCTGTTTGTGTTTTGGTACTAATGCTAAGACAATAATATTTTTCTTTTAAGAGACTAGGTGGTAGCTGAAAAGCTTTCTCTTTAGAATTGTCTAGTTGCGGCCAGACATTGGTGGTGCACGCCTTAAATCCCAGTACTTGTGAGGCAGAGGCAGGCGGATCTCTGTGAGTTAGAGGCCAGCCTGGTCTCCAGAGTGAGTGTCAGGATAGGCTCCAAAGTTACACAGAGAAACCCTGTCTCGAAACCCCCCACCCCCCAAAAAAGAATTGTCTAGTTGCTCAGTTCTTCCCCATAATACTAGTAACTGGATGCTTTTAAATAAAGAGGTACGTAATAAATAGCAGTTTTTGTCACTTTAAATGCAGTGGCCACAATACCAAATTCTTTACTTTTATCATTTAACCTTTATAACATTGGGATCTGTTTTATAGACTCGGAAATGAAGGGTGCCAAAAGGTTGGAAATTGACAGAGCCACTTTGTATACCATGTATGTCTATAAATTGGAAGATCTCCCCCCACTCTAGTAATTTAGCATTTAATTCTTTAAAAACTCCAGCATATTTTGTTTTCTGCTTTCAGCTACCCAAGTGCAAGGATCACATGTATTGCATGACATGCACCACTGTACTTGTCTCTGCTTAGTAAATAAGTAGTGCTCACAAATTATCTTTTGTTTAAAGGAAAACCTAGTGTACTTTCTCTGATATATATATTTATATTTTATTTTTTAATTTAATTCCATTTTGTGACTCAGACTGGTGTTAAACTCAGTGAAATCCTCTTCACCCTCTGGAGTAGTTGGGCCAAAAGCATATACCTCTAATGAGTTCTACAGACTCTGTTTCTTTTGCTGCTAGCCAAGGAACCCAGGACTCTTTCTAAGCCAAACACACATGTAAACCTTGAACTATACTTCTACTCCATAAACTTACTAATTTTTTTAAATTATAATCATAGTATACCCATATGTTCAAAGGATGTCCTAAGACTTTTTTTTCCGAGACAGGGTTTCTCTGAGTAACCCTGACTGAAACTCACTCTGTAGACCGGGCTGGCCTCAAACTCAGAACTGTTTGCCTGCTTCTGCCTCCCGAGTGCTGGGATTAAAGGTGTGTGCCACCATTGTCCAGCAATTAAAAAAAAAAAAAGTTTTTAATGTTAATCTGGGCTTGAAAAGCATGTAAAAAATGTTTCTCCTAAAAAGGTTAACTAGTAATTTTCTCTTTATTTTCTGACAAGTTGAAATTTCTGTAGGTAGGATTTGCTTTGTTTCTTGGTCTTATTGTTAAAATAACAGGTGTGGTTTTAGTAAACTAATAGAAATAAGTTAAATTTGAATTTAACCATACTTAACCATTCATTGTTTATAATCAATTTATAAGTAATTTTTCTATATAATTGACATTTAATACGTGTGGTGCCTGTTTTGTTAGTACCATGAACACACAGTGAGAGTGTTTTGGTAGCATTTGATATGCTACCAAAGAGGATTCAGAAAATATGCTATTATTCATTGTCAAGTATCGTTAATGTACTGATACTGTAGTGTACTGGTTTCTTATATTCTATATAAATTTAAATTTTAGTAAAATCAGTTCTTAATAGATTATAGTTTTCGTTTTTTTGTTTGTTTGTTTGTTTGTTTTGTTTTGTTTTGTTTTTCTTTTTCTTAGACAGGGTCTCACTATATGGCTCTGGCTGTCCTGGAACTCACTATGTAGACCAGGCCAGACTCTCACAGACATCCCCTGGGATTAAAGGCATGCTTCACTCTGCCTCCTGTCCAGCTTGTTTTTGGCTTTTTTGTTTGTTGCCCTATCCCTTGTCTCTTCCTTTGACAGACTTTCTTTGTATAGCCTTGACTGACTTTGAACTCACTCTATAGACCAGGCTGGCCTCAAACTCAGAAAGATCCACCTGCCTCTGCCTCCTGAGTCAGGGATTAAAGGTGTGCAGCACCACCATCCAACAGATTATAATGTTTTTAATTTTTAAAAATTTGGCAGAATGTTCTTATTTGCAATTCCCCACTTTTGAGTGGTTGTTAGTCTTGCAGATAGTAGTCACTTATTACTATCATTAGGCATTATTTTAAATTTACATATTTTTCAAAATATATTTGGTTTATTGAAAACAAATTTAACATAAATAGCATTTCAATAGGGTTGGAAAAACTTGTGTTAAGTAGAGTGAAATCAATCTTTTGGTCTTTGAGAATTTACACAGGAGTTAAGTTTGGGTGGACATGATTGCACAGACCTGTAATGTCAGTATTGGGAGGGACTACATAGTAAGTTCCAGACTAATCTGGACTGTCTCAACAAAACAAAACGAAGTTGTGTGTTTGAAGAGAATAGTTGTTAGAAAATGAAGGATGGGTAGTTTAGAGTAGAATTCTGTGTGAGACTGAAATTGGAGAAGGAAAACAGAGCTAAGTGTTATATGTGGACTAGGTTTTGGAGACTTTAGAGAATTGCTATGAAGCCTGACAATCTGAGTTTGATCCCTGGGTCCCACATGGTGAGAGAAGAAAATGGATTTTCAAAAGTTGTCCTCTGACTGATGACACCTACACATGACAAACACACCTTGCCCCCAGTAAATAGATCTAATAAAAAACAAAAGACTCTATTATACATAATTTTATTATTTCCTTTAGAACAAAACTTATGTTTTGCTGATTGAAATATATTCTTGTTCATGTCTAAAATCTCAGTGACTTAACTCTGTTGGACTTGTACCTCATCTCTACTATTTTTATTTATGGCTGTGCACATTTGTATCACATGGTACAGCTCCATGTAGCCCTGTCGAAGACCTGACCACTACTTTTTTTTCACCATTAACTAATATATTATCTATGTCTTCTAGTCTTTGTGTGACACCTTTCTCATAAACCTGACTCTGTTGTGCAGATAGGGACCTTGACAGGCAGCTCTTACCCTTTGCATTCTCAGGGTAAGGAAACACTAGCAATGTACTCTTCTGCCGTTAGTGCTTCCTTTGTTTTTGAAAGCATATCAAATTATTAGTTGTGTGTTACATTTAAACATGGAAATAGCAGTAGTGAGCATAATGCAGTTATAGGTTCAGTCTAACCTGGAAGTCACCAGGAAAATGTCACTTTTCTGTATTTTCTTCTGTTGCATGCTTTCCCTGTTTATTATAAAACATCCCCAGAACTGGTATTTTTGTCACACAGGAATATTCAGAATTGAACACTAAGCCTGCATTGGATGTGTAGTCACCACAGCCTTGTTACAAAGTCACAATCTACTTAACTCAGCTTAATGAATATTTATTTATTTATGATATATAAAATCAGTAGTCACCTTTCAATGAAGTATAAAACATTTATAAAATGTAGTCACCAAGTGAATATACGAAGAGGAGTGGGTAATCTTTTGTAAGTAGTTTCAGTGATTATTAATGGCTTATATTTGTGTGATTGTCTGAATATTGCAGCATAAGATCAGTAATGTTAGGAAAGAAGCTGGACAGAGAGATAAGAATAAATAGCTGGGTGGCGCACGCAGTTAATCCCAGCACTCCGGAGGCAGAGACAGGTGGATCTCTGAGTCTGAGGACAGCCAGGGCTACACAGAAATCCTGTCTCAACCCAACTCAATATATATATATATATGAAGTCTTGAATAGTAAGCTTTGAGAACTGTTGTCTTTGTGTACTTACAGACTTTAGTCTTTATATCTGAATCATTAAATGTGAAGGGTAAGTTTGATTCATTTAAAAAAGGGAGGGGGTATTTAAACTCACCAATCCAGATACCACCTTCTTACTATTTTTACTTATCTTAATATAAAAATTAAATAGAGGTATTTTTAACAGGTGTTTGTTTAGAAAAAGTTCTGAGCAATTATTGAGGAAGGTCATTGAGATAGGTCAGCTTAGAGCTGGACTGACCGACTGCAGCGTAATTGGATGGATGCTACCTGGTTGGAAGATGGAGCTGATTGGTGAATCAAAATCTATAATGAGAGAAATCTTCTATTTTTAGTTGAAGTGCATTTTGAAATTGCATTCCAGTGAAGTGCTGTTGTATTTGCTATTAAAAATGAAATGATAACAATTACTGTCTCTAAAAGACATTTTAAGTGCTTCTGGTTCATGGAATATGTTTGGTTTGAGAGGCACTTAGTAAATATTTCTGTTACTTTAAAATAGGAACTTTTAAATTATAGTATGTTTATTTGCTGAAAACTATTTTTGCATCTCTTTAGGTTTATGTGAGATTAAGACCATTCTTCAGGGAATTCCTTGAACGAATGTCTCAGATGTATGAGGTAAATGTGTTTAAACTAATTACCTATGTATTTTTATTTTATTCAATATAGAATCCATATTTAGATCATGTATAATGATTACTTCTTTTCCCTGAATTTGTAGATCATTCTTTTTACTGCTTCTAAGAAGGTGTATGCAGACAAGTTACTGAACATACTAGACCCTAAAAAGCAACTGGTCAGGTAAATTTAATTAAGAAATCGTAGAAATGTCTGTCACACTCATCTATGCAATTACCTTGACTTTATTTAATTTTAATGGCCATTTTCAGTTGGCTGCTACCTAGAGATTTACTGTGTTGAATGATATGAGTTTTTAAGTCCTACAACTCTTTATGAGTTTCTAATTATGTGACTTCAGACAGACATTCCTTAAAGGGTCCCAAAGTCAAATATATTTATTAACTGTTACATCTATATCTTCATTTCTTTGGGAATTTTAGTGGGGCGGGTGAAGCGGGTGGTGGTGGTTGAAGCTTTCACTGTGAGCTTGTCTTACTTCCATGTGTCTCTGAGATACTGCTTGTTATATTGCCTTTGTAATGGCACAGATGAATTGAAAGAGAAATTTAGTAGACAAGATTCCTTAAAAATAGATTTAGCTCCTCCCAAGCAAAGAAAATGTTACATGTACCTATCTGGAAATTAAAATTGGCTTAATTCTTCAGGTTATTCTGATCTGTACTCTGTTCCTTGTGTATGCCATTAACCAGCAGATGAAGTGTGTTGTTCCTGGTTAGCAGGGGATTTTGAAAATGAGTTCCATTATTTCTGTCAGCTGAAGAGACTTGCTCCATCCTCTGAGGTGTAAGAATGAGTCTCACTTAGTGATGAAGAATAGAGAGAGAAAGGATGTAAGAAAGTAGCAGCTATTAAGCTGGATATTGCTTTGAGTATTATCTCCCATACTCTAGTTATAAATCTTAAACCAATTTACTAATGGTAATAGTTTATTCCCAGGTATTGTGGCACAAGACTTTAACTCCAGAGCTTGTGAAACAGAGATAGGCAGATCTCTGAGTTTCGTGTCAGGTTGAGCTATACAGAGCTATACAGAGATGTCTCAACAAACTCAAAAGAACCTTTATTGACTGGTTGCAGTTGTATTGAAAGGTTTTCCCCCAGTGACACTTATTTAGTTTTATTAAACTGATTTTTAATTTTTAATTGAAAGGGTCAAATAAGCTACAGAGATAATAAGAAGTGATCTTTTATCCACAGAAGTAACTGTAATATATGTTCACTGTATGTACCTAACTTTAATAAAATTTAGATTTTCTTTTGACTACGTTAAGAGATTTCTGTTCACTGTTTTTAGCAAAAGTTGTAAGCAGCACAATCCTGGCCCTCTTGCAGCTTTCGTCTTCCTGGGGCATAGTCATGCTGTTACATTGTGTTATAATAGCTAGATGTACAAAATCTACACACTTGGAAATTTCAATTTGTTCTAACATTGGATTTTGAAAAACTTGAGGGATAAAATATGAATGATTGTAATTTTTGGAGTGCTTTACAGAATTTTCTGCTAGTAACTAGGTAGCTAAAACTTCCTCTTTGTCATTGCCACCAGCACTGGACTTTTAAGATGAAATTGTGTGTGCTTTTTAAATGTTTTTTGTTGAACTGGGACAGAGTGTATGGGTAGAAAATACTTATTTTTTTCAAGACAAGGTTTCTCTGTGTAGCCCTGGCTGTCCTGGAACTCATACAGATCTACCTGCCTCTCCCTCCCATGTGCTGGGATTAAAGTTGTACGCCTCCATGCCCAGCTGAAAATTCTCCTTTCTAGGAATTATAAAAGGAAAAGTACAGGCATGAGTAATACATTACTCATGAAAATTTGTTTAGGATTAAGAAGCAAGACAAACTGAATTATTAAGGCATATAGTAAGAATGTATTTCAAGGTGAAAAAAAACTAATAATATTTAGAGAATGGTATATTGATTGTACATTCAGATTGCATAATATTATAGTGTATAAAAATTGTACATATTTTAATAGCTTTTAAAATAACAGAATTTTCTATTAGTTTATAGGATTGGTTATTAGTTTACATTTATAATACTTAAACCTGAATTTTTTTTAATCCCTGTTCTTTGAATTGGTATTACACACAGACACACAGACAGACAGACAGACAGACAGACAGACACACACACACACACACACACACACACACACACACACTCACTCACTCACTCACTCAGAACTAACAGTGTTTGGGGAAAGTTGAAATGATGGAATGTTTTGGCCTCAGCAGCATCTCTTCTCAAAAACTATTAGGAAAACTAAATTATTTTAATTCCAATACAAAAACAGACCTTCTTATATTTTCTATTCTGGCATGTACAGGGATAGGGAGGCTGTGTGGTCTACTGGTTAGAGCAAAGGACTGGGAGCCAGGAGGATCCTGGGTTCCAATACCGGGCTAACCACAGACTTACTGTGACCTTGGGCAAGTCACTTGTGCCTCATTCAACCATCTGGAAAATTGGTTAAAAAGCAGGACCTCGATGACAACCAAATGCTGCATCTGAGCTGAACTTTCCTGGGTAATTAAATTACAAAAACAACTTCCAAGTTTTAATTCCCTTTTTTAATTTATGACATTATAGTATAAACCAAAGTTCTTTAAACCATTAAACCATTGTAATATTTGGTGTTTTTTAAAAAGGTCTCAATGATTGCTAAGAATTTTTCTATTGAAACCGTCCTACAACTTATGCCCAATATTTGTATTTGAATTTGCTTCCTGAGAGAAAAGAATACTTGGAAAGCTTATGGTATATGAATGTTTCAGTACGTGTTTTAAAATTTGTTTTTATTTTTGTCTAGGCACCGGCTTTTCCGAGAACATTGTGTTTGTGTACAAGGAAACTATATAAAGGACTTAAATATCCTTGGAAGAGATCTTTCCAAAACTATAATAATTGACAACTCACCACAAGCCTTTGCCTATCAGGTAGGAAGAAGATTCCTAAAGAAACTCAATTGGAAAAAATACAAAGAAGACAACTGCTGCTAAGAAGAATGTGATAGAAAAGAAAATAGGGTTTTTCTGTTTATTGTGTTCTCTTTTGGGATTAACAATGCCAAATGGATAAGTACTTGTGGAAAATTAAGAAAATTAAGAGAAATCTAAGTGTAAATCTGCATGAGAGGACAATACACCATTTAGTGGCATTTTGATATTTTAAATTATAAATGTTTGAAAACTAAATGTAGCGATATTGGTCTATTGACTTAAATAATTTAAAGGGTTTTCGTAAGTTGTTTAGGCAAGATTTTTCTGTGCTAATATTTCTATAGCTCTGTTCTACCAGCTGAATAACTACACTGGTTGTTTTTGTTCATTTTGTTTTCTTATGTAGCCCAGGCCAACCTCGAACTCAGAGATCAGCCTGCTTCTGCCTCCCGAGTGCTGGAATCAAAGGGCATCATGCCTGGCCAAGTATTTACTTTTTTAAAATTAATGCCTTTCCCACCCTGTGTTTGCACTTTTACTTGTGCTCATGAGTTGATAGCAGAAAAAATGGTCAGACTGAGGTGGAAGGATTGCTTAAACACAGGTGTAGGGCCTGCCTGGGCAACAAAAACAAAACTTTTTTTTTGGTTTTTCCAAATGGTTTTTGTGTGTAGCCCTGTCTGTCCTGGAACTCACTCTGTAGATCAGGCTTGCCTCTGCCTCCAAAGTGCTAGGATTAAAGGCGGGTGCCACCACCACTCAGCTCAAGACCCCTTATTAAAAGAATACAACAGTTATGGGGTGGTGGAGGCACATGCCTTTAATCCCAGCACTAGGGAGGAAAGGCAGGATGATCTCTTGGAATTCTAGGATAGCCAGGAGTGTTTCACCGAGAAACCTTGTTTTGATAAACCAGAAATAAAACAACAGTGATTACAGAGTGAGACCCTGTTTCAAAAAAACAAGGAGAGACAAAAAAAGAAAATAAAAAAGAACAACGAATAGGAAGGGCTTGGTCCTTGTGTAAAGTAAGTACACATGCTTTCTGACAGTGTTTAGGGCAGTAGTGTCTCTTTACTCCAGTGACTAGCACTGTGCTAAAACTTTCTTGAGTGAATATTGTAGAACTTGCTTTAGTAAACCTTATTGTTTACCTTTATATTCACCGAGGAAGTAAATGACACTGACCAATCAGTTAAGCTTTAGTTTATTCATTAAACTCTCTCCTTCATTATTGAGCTGTGAGTGAAACCCTAGTAGCATTTCTTTTCAGAGGAACTTTTATACCCATAGTTATTTAAGTCTGTTTAAGTTTTCCAAAGCAGGCTAATGTAGTTAAAGGGAACTTAATTACATATTTATTGTTTTAGCTTTCTAATGGAATCCCTATAGAAAGCTGGTTTATGGATAAAAATGACAATGAACTCCTAAAATTGATTCCATTTCTGGAGAAGCTTGTAGAACTGGTAAGTATATCATCTATTTGTTTTTTGTTGTTGTTAGTTGAAGTATATTGAACAGATCTCTGTGTGTATTGGCTTTTAAAGTTAACAGTGCACCAACTTGGAAGACTAAGGAGGGAGAATCATCAGATTGAGGCCAGTCTAGGTTACATATGTAACAGCAACAAATAATAAAATTAACTCATAGAAGATTATGGCAAAAGTTGAAAAAGATTATGGTTGGTTTTGTTGTTTTTTAATGAAACTTAATATGCAGTAGAAATTGAACCAGGCTAATTCTATTGAAACAAGTTCTCTGAGTATTGTGGTACACATGGATCATCAGTTGATCTGAGCACTGAAGATCAAGGAGGCAAGAGGATCAGGAATCTCACCTACATGGTGAGCTTGAGGTTAATCTGGGACTAAATGGAACTCTTGTCACAAAAAACAAAAAACAAACAAACCAAAGGAAAAAAACAGTTTTCTCTATAGTTTGTTTCTATTTCATATTGAATAGAAGATAAAGTATGCTGGGTGGTGGTGGTGCAGGCCTTTAATCCCAGCACTCAGGAGGCAGAGGCAGAGGCAGGCCCATCTCTGGGAGTTCAAGGCCAGTCTGGTTTACAGAGTGAGTTCTAGGACAGCCTCCAAAGCTACAGAGAAACCCTGTCTCGAAAAACCAAAAAGAAAAGATAAAGTATATACAAGCACTATAGTCCTCTGTCATGAAATGTACAAAAATAAGCAGCAGGAGTGTCTGCAGGGCTCTTGTAACATGAGAACTCAAACTCCAGAAGTGCAGATAACATCGATCCTCAGGGAGTCCAAACCTTTCAAAAACTTACCCTAGCTTTTGCTTGGTGTTAATAGTAACCAGAAGGAGCGTGAGAGCCAAAAACTCTGCTCAATATTTCCCTGAAATGGAAGAGCCCAGTTGTATGTGTGGTGGATGGGGCAAAAGACACAAGATCACCTGGGAGAATAGGCTAGTGACCTGGGAGTCCTGGTGAGCAAATGCCTTTGGATCCTCATGGGTAGTTCTAATCGGAAGTAGAGAAATTTGTTATCAGCTGGAACTGCCAATGTTCTGCCTCAGGGCACTAAGCCTCCCATGATGCAGCTGGCCTTTAAGGGAACTTTTATCAGTGGTTAGTAAAATAGACCAAAGAAGTAAGTCGAGATGGAATTTTTGTTGTTTGACACAGGGTCTCACTCAGAGACTTGATTGGCCTAGAACTTGCTGTGTGTATCAGGCTGGCCTCCAACTCCTAGATCTGTCTGTCTCTTGAGTGCTTCAATGCCCAACAGGTCAAGTTGTTTAAAGCAAGGCTTTCTTAAGTGATACATGAGGGAAATAAAGGAGAAGCCAGAAGCACTGGAAAGAGCAGAGACTCAGAAAAGGCTTCCTTCTTGTTGTACTTTATAGGAAAAATCCTGGGCTGGAGACTGGGGTCTGGCGTGCTCAAAGACAGTAAATATTTCTCCCCTGGGGGAAGGTAGAAGGCTTAGAAAAAAATTAGTTATTTGTAGCCTCATTTCAGGTTCTAAACCCTGGTCCTTATAGCCCACTATGGTTTTCCATGAACAGTTTTAAATTGTATTAGAAATTACTAAAATAAGGCCTATCCATTTTTAAAAGCTTTCAAACCGAATGCTTTGATGTCACTATTTCATGGCTTCCTCTTTTGTTTACAATTACTCTAAGCTGATGTATTTCACTGTCACTGTCATAATACACATTTAGAAGTACTGCTTTGTCACTGAATCTTTTTATTCTAGGAATTATTTTCTTATCCATGAGGCAGTCAATTGTAGAATGTAGTGGTGTTACCCTTTTACTTAACTATTGGTTTAGCCTCGTTAACTGTTTTTTTTTTTTAAGGGGGGGGCTTAAGTCTAACAGTAGTCACCCCTCCATAGCCCTTCTAGATTGGATCCAGGATCCACCATAATACCAGTGTCTACAAGTGCTCAAATCCCTTAGAGAGTTTAGGGTGGTGTTTGCTTACAACCATCACATACCCTCCCAAATACTTAAAATTACCTCTATAGTAGTAACAATACCTAATACAGTCTAAATGCTAAGGAAATAGTTTGCACTGTATTTAGGAATTAATGGCAGAGAAAAAAGTCTGTCAGTACAGATGTGAGCCTATAGATTGGTTATAGAAGCTGACTGTATTTGGCAAGCAAAGTAATATGTCATAAAGTAAAGTAGTAGTACATTTTCTCTGTAAAGAGTGTTCATAGTGTTATATAGGACCATACCTTAGAAATGATGTGGCTTTTCAAAAAAATCTTTTTTCCACACAGAATGAAGATGTCCGGCCTCACATCAGAGACAGATTTCGCTTGCATGATTTGCTGCCCCCAGATTAAGTTCAGAGACTTGTCAGATCACTGAGGGGGGAGAGAATGCAGGACCCTTTGGACTAAGACAAAAACATTGCCATTACTGTTGAAATTTTGCATTTTTGTACCCCGTCTTGCTTTTCTTATCTTTGGTGCCCAATAATAATGAAGGGTTACAGAAAGAGACTATCTCAGATTGAACACACACAGTGGGTAGGCTAAAACAGAAGCGTCTGTAGAACTAGTACAACTCCAGTGAACTTTTTATGTCCAGGACATCTGCAGTTTATAAAGAATTCTGTTTCTGCCACCAGCAGTTTGACCTGTAGTACACAGGATTTTATGATAATAACAGAGTTGAAAGTGGACTTCCATTTTCTCTCTGTTTGGTGCTCTCAGTGGGTTTGTAGCCACTTTTCTGTTACTTTACTATTCTCATTTCAACAGGAATGGCCAGTAAAAGTTGTTTTATTTTTCCTGTTAAGGTTTATAACCTTTTTACATTTCTGACCTGTATTAGATTAGAATCTCATGATGCATTCCTTTTAGTTGAGGCGCTTCATAGTTTTCTGGAAATAGTCAATTTTTAGGTTTTTTTTTTTTTAATTATACATTTGAATGGCCGTTTTCCTGCTTTGTCTGCCTGCATATTGTATATTTGTTTAAAAATATTCCCTACTTTTAGTCCATGTAAGTTTCATTTTAAAAAAACATGCATTTATATTTTCTGTAATATTCTACTGTAGGTGAAATCTTCAAAAATCAAGAGACTGGGTAGGTAAGAATATATGAATGACTAATATTCAAACAATTTGAACCATTGTGATGACATGTATTCCAGATGGTAATATCTTGCAATGGCACACATTTAATGGAAAAAGGTATACCTCAGACTTCACTGTGCTCATTAACCTTTGAGGAGAACGAGTTCAGTCTCCTGTTGGGCTTGATTCAGTTACTGCTGCCTTTGGTTTTCTCCAGGAATGAAGTATTCAGCACAGTGACTCAGTATTTACTTTGCATGGGCTGGTAGTACCTCTGTTATGCTCTCGGTTACAATCAGTTTAAAACTCTGTGTAACAGTCTTGGTACCTAACAGTGGCTATGCATAATCCTGTGGCACAGTACACTCCCGGCCACCAGTGCAGTTAATATGCTCATAGTGGTTTTCTATGCTATATGAAAATAGTCGTCACGCCTTGGTTCTCTAATGCAGCTACCACAAGAGGTTGATATTTTTATAGTGGCGTGTAATCTCCTTTTCAGGGGGCTTTTTATGGAAGGTAGAATTTGTAAGAGTTAGTATGCTTTGCCTCTCAACTGCATTAACATGCCGCAGGCTCAGACTGTTTTTGTGTAAAGGATGTCAAAGAACGGCACTTTTTCTAAAGAGAAGTTTGATATTTTGTATGCTTGTTAAGAAAGTACAGTATTGGAAATTAAAGGTGGACAACTGATAATTGAGGAGTATGTCAGTTAATTTTTTATGTATATTACTTGTTTACTTGTACAACTTATTGTACAAATTACATGCAGCTTCATTTTCAAATGAATCCTTAAAATAAGGAAATCTTTTTAGGAAAACATTTAATTTTTGTATTTTTGATTTTAAAGGCGCATGAGTTGTCAGTTTTCAGTGTATTAATGAAGATTTTAACTTTTCATCAGGTTGAGTGTTTTCTTACTATATTATCTGTTGTGTATGTAGTTAGCATATTGTGTCACTGAACTGTTTAAAAATCTAGCATGTAGAGCAAGCTTGTTTTGTGGAAAATCCTTATTCATTAAAAAATAATCATGGCAGATTTTCTGCAAAAAAAAAAAGCAAAAGCATTTGCAATTCAGAATACTGATTTTTTTTATTATTTTAAGAAAAGGTATTTTGCTTGCAGGAACAATACTACAGATTCATTTTAATGAGAATCTTTGAAATGTATTTATCTTTAGGGCACCTGGGCATCTTTATGCTGTTTGTCTTATATCTTTCTTGAAATAAAATGTACATACGTTACCTTTACACATGCTCTTGCTCAAAATTGTGAACCTAGTTAATTTCTTCCGGACCCCATCATTTTTATGCTTACATAGCAAACCCCAAACCTATACAAGATCTGAATTTTTGACATGCATAATAGTTCAAAGTTTTCCTAATTAAGTGAATTCAGTCTCAAAGCCCTTCCCACAACTCTTAAGAAAAAATGTAAACACTTGTACCATTGTGCCTGTGGGCACTTTAATAATAAAAAGTAGGCCCATTCAAGGAGAGCTTTAAGTCAGCTGAGTTAAGAACGACAAACTTCTGTAGAGAAAAAAAATACATTGTGGGAAAGTTTATATGACCTAAGAGTTGAGACCACACTAATATATTATTTTTCCATTACTTTATTTGGGTAATTCTAAAGTTTTTAATACAAAGTTTAAACTATAAAGAAACAATTTAGCCAGTGACTTCCCATCTCATTAAATTGTTTTCCAATCCTATCTTTTTTGTTGTTGTTGTTGGTAGCTGTAGAACACTTCCATTTAGTTATTTGGAGGTGTGTAGTTTTTGAATTGAGATGTGCCCAGCCTGTCAGTGCACACAGCAAACATGACTGTAGTAAATGCAGGGCCATGGATCCATGAGGCACAGCAAGCTACCTGTGTACAATTACAACTCTTAAGGACCTATTAAAATTGTGCTATTTCCAGTATGAATGTTTGACTTTTAAGAAATTCTTTTGAATATTTGTATCATTGTTAGAGGATGTTTTAATTGGTTGTATTTTTTAGTCCCATGTAATATATGTAGTCCTGACCAGATTTACTACATTTTTCTCTGGGTCCTTAAAGAGAATCGATGACAATTCGTAACCAGAAATTGTTTTATATTTGCTAGTATGTATATTTATTTATCCAATGGCTTTATTTGTTTCCCAAAATTATATTGGGACTTGTTGAAAGCATTGTGTGACTTCTATAAATGGCTATTTTCTTGTAACTGTCAGTGATATGGATGTGTACATTGTTTTATATATACATATATATATATATATATACATATATATATTTCTGGGGGTAATTTCTTTTTAGGGTCGACAGTGTTTTTTTGTTTTGTTTTTTTAAGTTACCTTTTGCCAATGACTTTTTCTGCTAGCTTTTACTTTCATTCAGCTTTCTAACGGAGTTCATTCTTATTGTGTTGTCAACTTGCCTGTAAGAGAGACTTCATCTCATCAGTGAAGGAGGTGTTTCGTTATTCCCACGAGTCTTACAGCAAGCACAGATTCTTCATAAGGATCAGATCTCTTCCACGTCTGTGTCAGTCACATAAAGGACACTGAAGCCTTCATTTCTTTGTACTGATATGATGGTGTTATACACTACATCACTAGCTAGTTAAGGTTTTGTGACCTGACTTCTTCGTCTTCCTAGGTATTTATTTGTTACCTCTTTAAATCTTGTATGTCTAAATTAACTTAGAATAGTTACCCACCGAATAACTATGCCAAGAACTAGGAAAGAATGTTTATTTTATTTCCCCTTATAGGGGAAGAGTGGACTGGGAACAAAAATGTAAGGCCAGGAGGCCTTAGGTTGTCATTCATTCACTTTCTTATTCCTCTCATGGGCTGTATTGGATTTTTATTTTTTTCCAGTGCTAATGTATTTGATTATACCATTGCTTTTTATGTCTTCCCTTGAGTTGAAAGCCTGCTAGGAATTTGTATAAAATATCTTTAAAAGTTTTCAGAGTTAGAAACACAAAACTCAGTAGTACCTTACATTCAAATGCTACTTAAATTATTGAAATCCAAGTCACACTACTAGGATGAATTTTCATAAAATGTTTCTCTGTTATCTTGAATTGGAATTCCATTGTAAATCAGTTTAGTCTGCAAACATGTTTTGAGATCTTTTACAAAAGGATTTAAGAGAACAAGTTTATTCTAGTTTATGGCTTAATATTATTATTTTAAGATACATTGTGATTCCCAAACCTGCCTGTTCATCAGAATCACTCTGAGGAGCTTTTAAACTACAGACTCCTAAAGCCTACTCCTGGGAACTGTTTCCTTGTGTCTGGAGCCCTTGTATATGGGAGTTCTGTTTTTAAAGTTCTCCCAGTGATTTGCATAGGCAACTTTGGGATATCCCTGTTCTAAATAGTGGTTTGAGGATAGGTTACAAAAGTTCACCAGGCATCTCTCTGTGGTAGTTTTTTAATTTTTTTCTTTCTTTCCCTTTCTTCCTTTTCCTTTTCTTTCTTCCTTTTTTTTTTTTTTTTTTTATGCTGGGACCAGATTTCACAGAACTTATTCAAGCTACAAGGAGGAATAATGAAGATTGAGGCTACTGCTCATTATCATTTTTGTCATTCATACTTTTTAAAGAGTTTGCATTTATAGAACTCTGAATAGCTGACCATTTACATACCTGAAGGACATGTCCCTGAATGAGACCATTATATATATTAACTAAAATATTTCACTATTTTTTTATTTTATAAATCTTTGTAGAAATGAGCAATGAAATGCTACTTTCATCTTTTGAAATGGGATTTTTCAAGGTAGTGTCCTTTTGGCATTAAGGTAGGGGGGAGTTAATATTCTCTCTACTTATTTCCACATGAATCAATATGAAGTCGTGGACATTTAAAAATCTCAATTTAATTTCTACTTATTTACTATGCAGTATAGCCGTGAACAAGTAATGTAGATTTAGTTTCTCATCTTCAAATGCCCTGATCACCCTACCTCACAGGGTTGTTGTGAGGATAAATAAAACTTTTATGGAAGTACTTTTCTTTGATGCCATTTTATCAGCCATCAGAAACAATGGAATTTTGAGCATTCTTCCTTTTTGTTTGATAAGTAGTCAGTGTTTTCATCTTTATTTTTGATACTGACCTTAGACACCCTGTCTAGATCAGAGGTGGGTTATAGATCAGGAAAGACCAATAATAAAAAAGCAAGGTCAAGACAGCTGTGAACCAAGACCAAACTCATGTAGTATTACAATGTGCTAGCATTCTTGTATGACCATGGTTATACATAAACACAAAACTTTTTTTTTTGTTTGGTTTTTGAGACAGGTTTCTCTGTAGCTTTGGAGCCTGATCTGAAACTCACTCTGCAGACCAGGCTGGCCTTGAACTGCCTCCCCCATGCTGGGAATAAAGCTGTGCACCACCACTGCTCGGCTACAAAACTTCTTGCACATCAGTATAGTCCACAAAATACTTTTAAAAATATAGAGCCATAAAACTGGGCCTAAAGGTAACATCCAGTTTTGCAACAAGAAGGAAACTGCAGCTTCCAAATTAACTATTCAGTATGTATGCAGATAAAGGTCACAGCTGGGAGTAGAAATAGATCTCTTAATTCTTACTCCATGATAGTCTTAGCAATTTCTGGGAGTCAAGATGAAAGAAAACATCTGAGGTCAGTCCAAATAAAGAAGGGGTTATCTGGGCAGGTGAGATGGCTCACCTGTTAAGAGCACTGCCTGCTCTTCTAGAGGTCCTGAATTCAATTTCCAGCAACCACATGGTGGCTCACAACTATCTGTAGAGATCTGGTGCCCTCTTCTAGCCTGCAGACAGGCAGAACACTATACATTTAAAGGGGACTGGGTTGCTTTGGGCAGCAAGCTTGATGGGGACTCCTTAAAACAGACATACAAGCTGACTAGAGTCTTGATCTGAATTCTTTCCTGAGTCTCAGTTTTTTATTTTGTAAAGTGGGTATACTAATACCCATCTTTGAGCAGTCTAGATGAACACACAAACTACAAAGCAGTCAACAGCAGGAATGTGGATTTCAAAGTAGATGGTCTTCTGAAGGATGGTGTTTGAAATGGTAACTGGTATACCACACATATACCAGGAAGTGGAGGGCAGCATGGGTTTTATGCATGGTTAGTACTAGGCCAGCCAGGGCTATTGGGTAAGACCCTGTTTCTAAAGTTACTGTAAATATACCACCAAAGAACTCAAGAATTCTTGAAGATGTGAGCACTGGGTGCAATAAGCAAAGAACATTGGGTAAGTCAATGAGAAGGGTACTCAATGGTTGTTGAGAATTTTTATGTTTAGTTAGAAAATGGGTGAAGAAATTGAAGAGGCTGGGGACACAGCATGGGGTGGGTACCTTGCATACTTGAGACCCTGGGTTTAAATCTTAGCCAGGCAAAGTACTTACTAGATAACCAGTGTGAGCAGAATAGATAATACAAAGGACTTGCCATGCCAGAAGCCCCCTTAAATGATAAAATGAGTCAGCCCTCACAGCTTTCAGTAATGAACATACAGAAATCTTTTAACAGTATTTCTTGTTTGTACTACCCTTCCTAAAGACAGATTAAAGGTGTTTGGAAAGCTGGGGATAGTGGGTAGAATGTTTACCTTGCATGCACAAAGCCCTGGGTTTGGTCTCTGGCTTGGATTAAAACTATCATGGTGGCAAATACTTGTAATCCCAGGTGGGGGTAGAATCGTCTGATTCAGTTCATTGTTGACTACATAACTGGTTGAAGCTACTCTAGTATACTTGAGATTATGTGTCAAAATATTACTGGTGCTGTAGCTGTAGCTTATTGTAGTCCTCTTGCTTGATGTATAAGACTGTGGGTTCTATTCCTAATACCTAAAACTAGAGTTCTTTCCTTACTGTTAGTCAACTACTAAACCAAAGATTTCTGTCTGCAAAATTGGTAAGTGCCATAATCTTAGTACTTAGCACTGGAGATCACCATTGGTTACTGCTGGAGAAGGGGTCAGGAAGAAGTGCAGAAGGCTAATGGTCACCAAGTGCCCATGAACAGTTTTCAAGGGACAGGGGAGGGGTTTAAGCAAGATAGTAAGACTCTGATTGCTGACTGTTAGGGAGTGAAAAGACTGGGACTTCTGTTACTCCACACACCAGGGATGTCAGCATCTGGGGAGGTAGAAGCAGCTTCAGGACCAGATCTAAAACAGCCCTTGCTACAGGAGACCTTTTCAAAGCAATGTGTAAGTTAAGAGTATTCCCTTTCTTCAACTGCTGAAGACACTCATTGGCTGCTAGTGTCAGAGCAGACTGCTGAGACTGTCAAATTTGGACAGAGCATGGTTTACTGTCCGAATCTAGAGTACTCCTTGAAGAAAAGCATGTTTATTCCGATGGATAGAGAGAAATGGGAAGTTAGTCTGGAGTTTTCTTATTTTTGATACTTTATTTTTGATACTGGGGAATTGAGCCTTGAGCATGTTGGCAAGTGCTAGAGCTCCACCCCCCATTCCAGAAGCTAATGTTTGTTGTTCTTTTTTGTTTTTTTGAGACAGGGTTTCTCTGTTTTGTTTTGGAGGCTGTCCTGGAACTCGCTCTGTAGATCAGGCTGGCCTCAAACTCCCAGATCCGTCTGCCTCTGCCTCCCAGTGCTGGGATTAAAGGTGTGTGCCACCAAAGGCCGGACAGAGGCTTTTGTTTATCTCATGATCCTTCAGTGGATTTGGTTTGGGGTTAAAGTGTAAAAAGTCAATTAACTGTTTCTGTATCAAATTATAGAAGTAAAACATTTTTTTTTCAAATGACAATTTTGGAATTTTCAGACAAATTCCAAAGTAGAGACAGTCTGCTACTCCCGTCAGCTCTAAATTCCTGGTGGTGGTCCTGCCTCAGCTTCAAAGTATCTAGAACTTACCCAGCAAACAAGAATCCCACCTCTGGAAGGAATTCTTAAAAGTTTGAATTTGGCTGCACTTGGAATTAAAATCTCTTCTTAAACCCTTTCATATTTCATATGTGTAAGATGCTGAGCCTAGAGCTGGAGAGATGGCTCAGAGGCTAACACAGCCTGTTCTTCCATCTGTAATGAGATCTGGTGTCTTCTTCTGGCCTGCAGGCATGCATACGGGCAGAACACTATATACATGAATAAATCTTTGAAAAAAAAAAAATGGGCTGGGTGGTAGTGGTGTACGGGAGGCAGAGGCAAATGTATCTCTTTGAGTTCAAGGCCAGCCTGATCTACAGAATGAATTCCAGGACAGGTGGGGCCATTACACAGATAAACCCTGTCTTTATATATAATGTAAAACATAAGGAAAAAAAGGATTCTGAGTCTGGTGCACAAAGTACTTCACTTTAAAAAGCAGCCAAGGGGGCTGGAGAGATGACTCAGGTTAGAAGCACAGACTGCTCTTCCAGAGGACCTGGGTTCAATTCCCAGCACCCACATGGCAGCTCACAACTATAACTCTAGTTCTAGGGGGTCTTGACACACTCATACCAGTGCACATAAATTTAACAAAAATAATAAAAAGTAGCCAAGAAAGCCTGGATTCATTTCTGAAGTCATTTATACTTTGATAGCTTTAGTAACTCCCTGAGATTTCTTGAGCTGAGAGTGATGACCACATGGGTAATCCTAGCACTGGGGGTAGTGGGGCTGTGGTAAAAGGCTTATCCTAAATTCAAGGACAGATTGGGCTATATAGATACAACAAGACTGTCTCAAAACAAGGGAAGAGTCCCTTTGCTTTGTATTATTAGAGGTCAAATCCAGTATGCTTGGCAAGTAGTTTTCAACCACAGAATTACACCCTCAGGCTGGAAGCACAAGTTTCAAAGTGTTCAGTAAAAATGTATCTTTATAGCCTGGCTTACTGAGTGAGTTCCAGGTCAGGCTCCAAAGCTACCGAGAAACTCTGACGCAAAAAAGAAAAAATATTTTTAGCTAGGTGTCGTGGCAGACGCCTTTAATCCCAGTTCTGGGAGACAGAGGCAGGTGGATCTCTGAGTTGGAGGCCAGCCTGGTCTACAGAGTGAGTTCCAACACAGCCAGGGCTCTGTTACACAGAGAAACCCTGCCTCCTCCAAAACCCCCAAAATTTCAAAAATGTTTCATTTTTGTAAATCTGTAGAATAGGAATACAGTCAGTCCTCTATACCTGTCAGTTCACTTTTTCAAACAACTGTTAATTGAAAATATTTGGAAAAATATTGCACTGTACCAAAGTTGTATACTTTTATCTTTACCTTCTACATGATACAGTATAATCATGTGACATTTTCATTTTACTGGTATTATAATACAGAGGTGATTTGCATAATATTAGACATTTACTCAAAATCTGTGTGACCAAACAACTTTTCCTGTATTCTTTATTTTAAGAGGGATCACTAGGTCATCTTTAAGAAAACGTATTGACCATTTACTATGTGGCAGGTACTGGGAATATAACAACAAAGAACACAAAAGACCTACATGTGTTGGCACACAAGCCCCGCAACCCTATCTAGTTGGGAAGCAAAGGCAGGAGGATGAATCTAGAGTGGATGGAAGTTAACTACTTAGCAAGTTCCAGGCTAGCCTGGGCTACACAGTCTAAGTTCTTGTTTCATGCTTTTCTTCTCCCTCACAAGAAAGGGAAACAGGCAAGAGATGTGTGCTTCAGATAGAAAACAAGATCATTACAGAATAAATGCTGTGACAAAACCAGAAAACAGAATGGTGAGATGGAGAGTAAACAGAAGGTCCTTGGCAAGTGTGCACCACACTGTATGATGCTAGGGACTGAACTCTGGGCGTTCTGCATGCTAGGCAAGCACTCTATCAACGGAGCGACATGCCCAGCTCACAGAAGGGACGCGATGGAAGAGAGGCCAGCCATGCAGAGTGTGAAGAGCACCACACAGGCAGACATAGAAGTGAGGCTAAAGCTCCTAGAGGGAAAGAGTAGTCTCAGATGAAGGGTATGAGGGACAGAGGGGAGAGGAGTACAGAACGAAGGAAAAGAATAGGGAGAAAATGAGATCAGCTATGACTGAAAGGAGGTAGGATAGTTTATGCCAGGCTTGCTGGCCAAGAGAAAGGTTGAACTTTCATTTTGGGATGGGTCACATATAACCCAGGCTGGCCTCAAACTCACTATGTAGTTAAGGATGACCTTGTCCTTCTGAGCCCCCTGCTTCCAGCTCCTGTGTGCTGCCACATCATTTATGTGGTGCATTCGCTCAACTCAGGCCCTTGTGCATGTGGGCAAGCACTGTGCCAACTAAGTTACAGTCCCAGGCCAAGTTGACGTTTTTTCTAAAAATAAAAAGTCTTTTACTATTTATTTATTTATTTATTTATTCTGACAGTGTCTTGATATGCAGCCCAGGCTAGCCTGAAACTTTTGGCTTTTGCATGAAGAATGCTTCCATATAGGCCTGGATCATCACACCTGGAATAAATTATTTTGTTGCTGCTGGTTTTTTGTTTTTTTGTTTGTTTGTTTGACACAGGTTTCTCTGTGTAGACCTGGCTGTTCTGGTGCTCACTCTGTAGACCCAGCTGGCCTTGAACTCAGAAATCTATCTGCCTCTGCCTTCTGAGAGCTGGGATTAAAGGCATGTGCCATCGCCTCCTGGCATAAATTACATTTTAAAGCAAGCATACTGTTGTGTGGGGGATGGATTGTAGAGAAAGAAATGATGATGGGAAGTTACAAAACTCTTAGATTCAGGTAGTAATAATTATCCAATTTCAGTAATGGAAACAGAGCTACAAAACTGGGTAACAAATGTAATCCTGGGGGGTAAGGGAGGGCAAGAAGCCAAGGATAGCTCTCAGGTTTTGATTTGCACGTCTCTCTAACTGTCACCACCACTCGAGCTCCTGAAACATAATGCATTCAGTCACTATATCAGGGTTCTCAGAGAAACAGACCAATGGGATACATGGATAAAAGGGAATCCAAAATCTGCAGGGCAGGCGAGCAGGATAGAGACTGGGAGGTCTGATGCTGTGGTATGGAAGCAGAAGTCTTCCTTCCTCAGGGTCCTGTCTGTATGTGGACTCACTGGCTGGATCCACATGTGTTACAGAGCTTTATTTGCTGTACTCAGCTTATTGGCTTGTTAATCATATCTAACAGAGTCGCAGCAACTAGACTGGTGTTTGACTAAAAACTAGGTAACGGGTATCACAGACTAGTCAAGCGATACATAAAATTAATCACTCGCCGGGCAGTGGTGGCACAGGCCTTTAATTCCAGCACTAAGAGGCAGAGGCAGGCAGATCTCTGTGAATTCAAGACCAGCCTGGTCTACAGAGTGAATTTCAGGACAGCCTCCAAAGCTACAGTGAAACCCTGTCTCAAAAAACCAAAAATAAACAAATAAAATTAATCACTCCAATTACTAAGTTCTATTGCCTTTCATCTTCAAATATTTTAAAGACTGGTTCCTTCCTCTCCATTGTCACTAGCTTAATTTAGACTTGAATTCTCGTTGAATTAATTCACTGAAGTTGGGGGTTGCATAGCTCAGTGGTAGTGCAAGGCTTGCAGAAGATCTTGGTTTTATTCCTGGCACAGCAAATTAATTAATGTACTTTTCGAAATGTTGAAGATAAAAATTGTGAATGATTGTGTCCTCAGGGATGTATAGTCCAGCTTTTTGCTACTGTCTCTCTTGCTTACTTTCAATCCACCTTTACAAATAGATGCTTTCTTTATAGATTGTCGTCGCCTCACAATTTAATGATGCTGTAGTACACTTCTTGAAACACCATCTTATTAAATGTTTGTTTTTAGACCAAAAATACACAAGAAACGGAAATAAGAGAATGGCTGATTACTGTCTTTTTAAGAGTTTAAAAACTGTAACTATGTTGGAAAATACATTTAATTATTTATTTAATTAACCAAATACCTAAACTGGCTCGTCCCTTAACATCCTTACAGGGAAGCCCAGTGTCAAAGGAAAAAATTCTGCTTCTTTTAGGTTCTTTATCATCAGTTTACCTGTTCGTTTGCAGTCAGGTGAGGACCACAAGCCTTCTCTCAACCAGAAATGCACCGGAGCACAAGTCACTTGGTTTCTCAAACTCCAACTTCACCAGTGTCTACCGCAGGCAGCCTACCGCAGACAGGGAACTGCAGCGGGAGCTGCCCCCCCCGCCGCCGTTAATGCTACCTTTTTACATCTAACCTCATAATGCTACTTTTTGTTGCAGCCATCGCACTGTGTCGAAATCTGTTTACATAACTATTTTGCTACCGGGCTGAGGGCAAACTAGAGCACACGCCTGGCACAGACCACGGAATTCTTAAATGTTTTCGCCAAAGAATCGCCGTACCGGCCTCAGAGGGGCTCACGGGAAGGGAAAACA